AGTGTGTATTGACAAAGCAAAGGACGAGACAGTTACATGCAAAATTGAAGTCATGATCCACTTCTCAGTTAAAAACACTATAGTTCCCCAGAGTTCTCAAAAGGCTTCAAGTATTTGACATAAACCACTGGAGAAAGGCCAACTTTTTCAGGAATGACAGCCAAGGCTTTTATAGGTAAACTCTGATTTGGCTTCCTGGGTTCACTTCCCAGTTTCATTCCCAACACCTTACAGCAATTCAAGTTGACTGAGTACTGCATCTGTCTGTCTGTCTGTCTATCTATCTATCTATCTATCTATCTATCTATCTATCTATCTATCTATCCATCCATCCATACCATCTATATCAGTATAAATATAGAGGTATAGATAAAGGTGATATAGATGATGATATGATATTGATTAGATAGATGATAGACAGACAGACAGACAGATCACACAGACCTGAAGCTACTGAGGCTAAAATTTTCTGCTTTTACCAAACTGCTTTTATGAACCTTTCCAAATCTCCCACCAAAACTCCCCCTTGTTTTTCCTGCACTTGGACTTTTACTTACGGCTATTTCATAGAACTTTCTGAAATCATTTAACTTTCTCCCACTACTCTTGTCTTCAGACTATCACAGTGTTTGCCTTAAACATGTTGTGACAGGAGGACGGTAGATGCCCTTTCTCCCAGTTCCCCTCTTTTAGTTCATAGCTACAGTTTTTGCTCTTCTGGGAACTTGACCATTCATCTATAGTCTTGACATTCTTCATCTGCTTTTCCAGTGGCCACGTGCCTAATTTTGAATTAAAAGACTTTGAACAGAAGCCAATACACCAATTCCAACTCCTGGTTTCAGAAAACCTTCACTTGGGGCTGGAGAGGCAGGTCAGTGGGAAGAGCACCTGTGGTTCTCCCAGAAAGCAGCACCCATATGGCCGTTCATAACTGCTCAGAACTCCAGCCCCAGGGGATTTGGCACCAAGGTCTGACCTCTGTGGGCGCTGCACTCATGTACACTCACATGTGTACATGGAACTAGCAGGACACACTCCATCGTGGTGAGAAAGGCATGGCGGCAGCATGAAGTGGCTGCTCCATGTACCCACAGTTAGGAAGCAGAGAGTAGGCAGGAAGTGGAACCACGCTACCAAATCTCAAGACTGGCTCCTCATGACTCCTCCCATCGGCTCCACTCTCTAAACCCAACCCCAGCCAGGGACCAAGTATTCAAACATTTGGGCCTGTGGTGGATATCTCACATCCCAGCCACCACAGAGAGGGTAACAGATGAAAAACGCCGCAGATTCACCATTACTGAGGCGAGCGGTGACCGTGTTGTAGACATCATTGCAATGTATGCACTGTTGTGCCTGTTTGAACTTTTCTATGACAAAAGATTAAAAGGAAGAAAAAGCCAAAGAGAATTTTCTACTGGATAATCACATGAATTTTGTTATTCAGATGGTAGAAATGTTATTTAAGTGCTTGTTGTTTTCCTTGCTTACTGCATGAATTCTTCTGGAGCTGAAGAGTACTCACTGCTCTTGCAGAGAACCCGAGTTCTGTTCCCAGTACTCACATGGGGGCTCTCCACCTTCTGAAACTCCAGTTCCAAAGGATCTCAAGGCCCCTCTGGCCACCTTGGGAATTGCACATATGGAGAAAATTGCTGTGAGTCTGAAGCCAGCCTGAGCTACATAGTCAGGCCAGCATAAGCTACAAAATAAGATTTTGTAAAACACACACACACACACACACACACACACACACACACACCACCAATCAAGCCCCCTCCCCAAAAAACAACAACAACAACAACAACAAAAAAAACCCAGTATAATTGAAATTGGTCATGATTAGATGTAGTGGTTTACGGCTCTTGGAAAGGATTTTCATTTTCATATTGAGAAAAAAGGAAAGCCATAGAAGGCTTTTAAGAAGAGTTATAGTATAACATGATTTATGATTTGAAAAAGTATGGCTGCTGTATAAAAACTTGAGTGGAAGAAAAAACTCTAAATAGTGAATATAAGATAATATTTAAACTTAATATAGAAATAAACTAATATATACCTACATACTTGTGTATATATTTCCTATATACATATGTATATCTAAAAGCATACATACACAGAGAGAGAGAGAACAAATTGTGTGCGCGCGTTCATGCTCTCCCATACACAGGGGCTAGAAGACACCCTTGAGTGTGGTTGGTTCCTTGAGCACCTTGTTCTTAAGACAAGGTCTCCCATTGGCCTAGAGCTCACCAAGTACGTTAGGCTGGCTGGCCAGTGAGTCAGATACCAGCCTGCTCCACGTCCCAGCACTCTGGGATTACAAAAGTGTGTCACGCCCAGAAGCAGAAAAACATACATGGTATAGACTCACTTATACATGGATATTAGACAAATAATATGGGGATATAATACTAAAATCTGTACACCTAAAGAAGCTAAGCAAGAAGGAGGACCCTGGGTAAGAGGATCAATTCTTATTCAGAAAGGCAAACTGGGATGAACTTCGGAAGAGGGAGAAAACAAGGAACAGGACAGGAGCCTATCACAGAGGGCCTCTGAAAGACTCTTCCCAGCAAGGTATCAAAACAGATGCAGAGGCTCATAGCCAAAATTTGGGCAGAGTGCAGGGAATGTTATGAAAGAAGGGGGAGATAGAAAGACCTGAAAGGGACAGGAGCTCAACAAGGAAAGAGAGAAAAAAATCTGGGTCCAGGGGTCTCCAACCAAGGACCATGCATAGAGATAACCTAGAACTCCTGCACAGATGTAGCCCAAAGCAGCTCAGTGTCTAAGTGGGTTTCCTAGTAATGGGAATAGGGACTGTCTCTGACATGAACTCAGTGGCTGGCTCTTTGAGCACCTCCCCCTGAGGGGAGAGGAACCTTACCAGGCCACAGAGGAGGACAATGCAGACAGTCTTGATGAAACCCGATAGACTAGGATCAGATTGAAGAGGAGGAGGACCTCCCCTATCAGTGGACTGGGGGAGGGGCATGGGAAGAGATGAGGGAAGGAAGGTGGGATTGGGAGGGAATGAGTGGAGCTACAGCTGGGATACAAAGTGAATAAACTGTAATTAATAAAAAAAATTAATAAAAAATTTTTAAAAGTGTGTCACCATGCCAGATTTTTACATTGCTTACTGGGTTTTGATCCCAGGTTCTCAGGCTCTCTACAGAGTAAGCTATCACAGTCTAAGATATTACTGTCTGTTCTTTAAAATAAATGGTATTGTTCTTCAAATAACTAATGCAGTGAATATAGTTTAGCAAAATAGGTCGTAGAGCAGTTTGCAGATTTCTTTACAGGTTGTTTTGTGATCATTTGCTTAATGCGCTGTTGCTATCTAAATAACATCACATCCTAAGCCATGACTTGATGTAGAGAACCATATCAGACCTTCCATTGACTCCCACATCAATGAGGTGGCCATTAGGTCTTTGGTATCCAACAGTGACCAGTGACCAGAAGAACTGTCAATGTTCTGTTCTAGGACGTTCTGTATCACCTGGACTCAGAAATCTTATGTCATAACCTCAATGACCATGTACAGCATTTCCTGTCTGCAGCCTGTGGCCTTTCGGGAACACTATGCTTTCCCTGAAGAGCAGGCAGCATCGTATGTGTTCCTGTGGCCAATGTGGCCACTGCTTGCTGGGTTTGGTTAGCTGCCTTGGGATAGCAACATGACAAACATCCCCCGGAATGGCTGCAGAATCTGCTGTTAGGCTGTTTAACAAAACAGATCATCTTCCGTGATGAAATGCCTGAATATTTCAACAACTGGCAGACCCACATCGTGTACACCATGTGAGAAGCAGGCCTTAATGGACTAGGAAGAAGGTAATATAGAGAAACAGTTATATTCTGGATGTATTTATAATGTGGAGCCAAGTTATTTGCTAGTGAATGGTAGAGAAGGTATGAAAAAGGCACCAAGTATGACCTGCAGGAATTGGTCTGAATGACTGGAAAACTGGAGAGAAGGATGGGTTTTGAGTGGGAATAAAGAATGCATTGTGGGGGGTGGTTGTTGTTGTTCTTTTGGGGGGGGGGATGGTAATCCAGGTTGGCCTCAAACTCAATGTATGGCTGAAGACAACTTGAACTTGTGATCCTCCTGCCTCAACCTCCCAAACTAGGGTTATGGGTGTTATACCACCACTCTTGGTTTGTGCTGTGAGGTGCTTGGAATCAAACCTAGGGCTTTGTACATGCTACATAAGCACTCCACCAACTGTGCTACCCCCATACACCCAGAGCGTTGGCTTCTAAAGACATCATAGCAGGTTTTGAGTATTTTATTAAACAAGCAAGCAGAGCTTCAAACACCTGGTTGATCTATGAGTCTAGAGTTCCAAGTCAGAAAAGTTTTAGGAATAATTAACTCAACCTGGCAGTTACTGGTTAAAATTGTCTTTCATGGTTAGATTTGAGCATATTCATGATGACCCATGCAGTTCAATGGCTCATATAAGAAACAACTTCAAGCCCCAAACTCTGAATAAAAAGCTACACAACTGCCCAGCTTCTGGGTTTTACTTCATCACACACTGTCTTAACCCAGGATGTCTCTCTACTTTTCTCTTACTTGAAGATGCAGGAGCTAAGAATGATGAAATCGTACTTTGAAAGAACTCACCTTAGCCAAGTAACATAAGCTCACCCATGCAGGCCAGCTGACTCTGACTACAGAGATTGCTGAGAAGAAAATAGTTTTAAGACAAGAGGTAGGAGATTCAGAAATTAAGAGTTCAGGTTTCCATAACATCTCAAACTCAGAAAGAAATACCAACAGAATGTTTCAAGCCAAAAATCATATAACCAGCAAAGGAGAAAAGAAGCTGCAGTCCTCTGGCCGTAGATCTGCGACTGGAGACCTAGAAGACAGTGCTGTCACTATGTGACTCCATGCCTGAAAGCATGAGTTTTTGTGGACTTTAATTGAGATGATTTGGTGTAAGAGGAATCACAACACTCCATGGCAAGTATAAAGGAAATGTTTTTAATAAAATATTCAATATAGCTTTCCCTACTTTTCTGCAGACTCTTGCCCATTTCTATCCAACAGAATGTCAAGAGAAGTCAATAGAAAAGATTAGGCGATTGATCTGATTTGAAACAGCCAGAACTAAGAGGTTTGCTTTAGGCTTCCTACCAAATACAGCATCATAAAAAGGAATAAAGTTGGTATATAAAAGGTACTTAATGTGATTGGATACTTTACCCCGCCCCCAATTCTATCTGCAGTTCTAGAGTGAGCAACAGAAACAGAATAGCCAGTGATCGCAACAAGTAGGTATTTCAGATAGACTCATTCCTTGGCCAGGTTTGGCATTCCAGGTCCAATCCTAAACTGTGTTTCAAAACGGGAGATATGAATATCTTCCATTTTCTATGCAATAACTTTACCAGGTCACAGTGACATTTTGTGTGTGAAACAAGTGTGAACCATGAGTCCTCTGCCTTGGGTGTTACTATTTATTAATAAAGGCAATTTAATTTTTTGAATATGAATAGTTTTCAGTGCATTAAACTATGAATACTGTGTTCCAGTCCTGGCTTGCTGATGAGTCCAGTATTTCAGTCATCTGAACTCAATGAATTGTCTCAGGATTGTGTGTCACTCATCAAAACTCAATGAGTGACTGTCTCAGAGCTGTCAGTCCTCAGAGCCCAATGCTGACTGTCCTGGGGTGGTCCCGCAGTCATGACTCTGACGGGCACTGGTTTCCTTCTGGAGTCATGAACTGTACCTTGGGCACCATGAGAGAAGAGTTATTCCTCCGGATGGAGTTGCTTCTCCTCATGGAGTTGTTTCTTCTCATGGAGTTGCGCTTCCTCAGAGAATTCTGGTGTGACAGTTCACTCTTTTGGAGGGTCTGAATCAGGATGGAAGGCTTCTCATCCAGCTCCCGGGCACTGCATCTCGGGGCAGCCACCTTCACAGTATTGCCAAATTTAGAATAGTCCACAGAGTACACTCCCTCCTCCTCAGTCACAATGGACACGAAGCGGTGTCCCCACTGGATCTCCTCTGCAATGTAGGAGGTCCGTGCTTGAGTGGTGATGCCCGTGGTTTCCACCACGCCCTCAAGAATCACTATGACCTCCAGGTCTTGATTGACAAGGTCAGTGGCTGAGATATCGTACAGGGGGCTACGCTTATCGATCACATGGCAGATGATCAAAGGGGCCACTAGGAAGATGTTATTGCTCTCAATGGGATTATCCACTGGAATGTCCAGCTGATGAATAGGCACCACCTCCCCCTCGGGTGTGGTTGTTTTCTTGACCACCTGGATACGCACCGAGGCACTAATGATCATGCTCTTCCTCAGGTCCCCCACCCGGAACATGAAGCACAGCTTGCCGTTGCGGACGGCGATCACAGCGTGGCGGCTGAAAATCAGGGTCTCCGCCCTTCTGTGCGCCTGCGCCGTTTTCATGAAGATGCAGCCCAGCATGACCGCGTTGATGATCAGACCCACGATATTCTGCAGAATCAAAACCGTGATGGCCAGAGGGCACTCCTCGGTCACCATTCTCCCTCCAAAGCCGATGGTCACTTGAACCTCGATGGAGAAGAGGAACGCTGACGTGAATGACCTGCGAGGAGGGTATCAGAAAGAACACCAGGTCAGAGTGCGCACGGAGGAAAGAGCCCGGAGGAGCCTTGCTTGCCACTGCAGCGATTCTGGAAGGCCTAATTTTAAATACAAGCATCTTCCTTCCCCTCCTACCCCTCCTGATATCCTCCCTCTACCTTTCCCTCTTCCTGCTCTCCTCCGTTCTCTTTGCACCTCCAGATTTGGGGATACAATTTCGCTAATATTTCCTTACTCATATTGTGTGAAGACATTCATAAAATAAATAATTAAATATAATTAGATATATTTCATTTTTACCAAAGCCTAACATACTTTCTGGAAGTTTTTTTTTTATCAGGTAGGTGTTTCTTATTTATCACCTACTCATGTTTAAGCGACTTGAGTCATATGGAAATTACTGAATTATGAGTGAATGTTTTTATTATTTATAACTTCTAAAATTATGGTCATTATCCAGTGGTTAATTGTTCTGTTTCCACAATTTAGCTCAGTGCTAAATCATGGTATGAAATAGATGGTCCCAGAACATTAATATTTTAATAAGGAGAGTTTTTCCATTTGGGGAAGAACCATTTCTGATTGATTATCTCATTTAATTTTCCTTGTGACCCAGAGAATGTGGAAACTATTAAAAAGTTTCATGTGTCGTTTAGTGAATGACTGTGTCAAGACTGTGTATATGTAAGGACTGTATCCTTGAGTCCTGTTAGTCTGGTGTGGTGTCCTCAAAGAGGCAAGGGGGAGGAGCCGACAGGTGTCAGGATTTTCTTGCGAAGGTTACTTGGTATGGCTTGGTTTTGTTATGTGGTTGCACGTCTCCTCCCAATCTTAGAGAATGGAGAAGGGTTTGGTGGGTCCCTTCTGAATCTGAGTGAATCGCAGAAAGACTCCTGGGTAATCGCGCTTAATCTCTGGCTAAGAAGAATCACGTTTTGTTATTAGCAAATTATTCCCTTGGCTGTATACCCAGAGCAGCTGTGGCTTCTTCGCAGCCCGATCCCCGCCGCTCGCCCCAGTTCCACACTTCTCTGCTTTCACAGGGGAGGCCACACGTTAGCAGCCTTTCAAAACATTACCTGTGAGTGCCAGGCACAACGAGGGAGCAAAACATTTGAACTTTGAGCACTCAGTACACACTGCATCTCCACAGGAAGCCGGGAGAGTGAGTCCTTACACTCTCACACTTCTAAGCGGCCTAGGAAAGGGGCCTTTTATCTCTGTTGTGTCTGAAAAGGATTTGTGCAAAGCTGTAGAAACTGGCTTCTGCCCTACCCCCACACCACGACATATGGACTGAAAACGCTGATAGGCATGGATCCCAGAAGAGCCTTTATAATGGTTGATATGTTAGAGCACACAGCACCAAGCCTTTATAGTGGTTGATATGTTAGAGACGAGCCGAAGGAGGGATTTCCCTCCGCACTGTGTGTCCATGCCTTGGGAGATGGTTCATGAACTGTGTTTTCATAGTGTTTATTTTTAAATGGAATTTAATTTCTCTATCCAGTATAAGAGCCAATCTTTTCTGGACATATGTCTTGCTAAACAATCTCAAGTGAAAAAATCATTTGATAGAGACAGGGCTGGGGGAGGGTATCAGCTGAATAATAAGAAAAATTACACGGTTTCTATTTTCTTACTCACATTGGAAAGCTATCTGCACAAAGGAGGAAGTGAGCCACCTAAAGTGACAGGAATCAAGCGATGTTGAAAGTACTGGTAGACAGACCCTGGAGAAAAAAATTTCTTGCAAATTTGATGATTTATCTGACACTGAATTTAGAAAAAAAAATGGAAACGCAAACAATTAGATTACCCATGTTTTAAGTTCTCTAGGAAGAGAATAACGCTTTAAATAAAGCTAAGGAGTGTGGTTTGGAAGCTGGCAGGGTTATGCTGATAAAGTCAACTTTGCTTCATTGAAATTTTGACATTTCTATGGCTCCATGCCATCAGTAGTGCATCTAGGAAATCACTATTTTTCAGAACATCTTATTTGAAAAATAAAAAGTAACAAGGGCAATTTTTTAGGAACCAATGAACTATAAATTTCTCTTCATAGAACATTCTAGAAAGAATAATCTATCTTGATGACATATGCGTATACATTTAAATTTACTAAATGATTTATTTTTCACAGATGGTGACAACAGATCATCTTGAGTAAAATCAGCTTATTTTCAAGATCATCCTGATCATTTCTCTTATTTCTCTTTGTCAGGATCTCTTGCCTGTTTACTGGAAACCTGTTTGAATATGAGCACCCTCACCAGCCATGTGAATGGCAGTAAGCTGCTCAGAGACACAGCGTTACAGTAAGGTATTGGCTTCAGATGCCTTAAACACACTTTAAACACAGAGAGGACCTTGTTCTCTGTGTCCCTAGTGCTCTGCTCACCTGGGCTTTTTATTCATCCTGTCACCGAGGCAGAAGTTTGAGAAAAGAAAATTCTGTCTTCCCAGGGGTAAAGCCTGGATCAATTTACTACAGTGCTCTCCCAAAATGAGAGCTGGGATCTGTGTGTGGTCTAAGCCTCTCCCCTTGACTTGATAGCCTGGCAATTACCTGGCCAACGGAAGAGTGCGCAGGGTCCTGAGAAGCGTTGCTTCTGGCCAGGCCACAGCTTCTTTATAGAATTTCAGGGCCACTACAGGTCTCAGGCTTGCCAGTTTCCCAACTAGACCATGCTTCCTCGGTTTCTCTGCCTTATGAATTATGTGAATTTGGAATATGGTTCAGAAAATACCCTGAGATTTTCTCCAGTGTTAGAACTGTGAACATTTTCGCAACTGATATAAATCATGTCTCTGTCCAAAGAAACAGATTAAAAAATTTTGCCTCACTGCAATGTTTGGGGGCCTCTTGGGAAGGCAAAAGACAGCCACGGAAACCAAATTCGCTTTAGCTGTGTTTGAAACATCCCTACATGCAGAAGTCAAACTTAGGTAACCTCAAAGCTGTCTTTTTCCTGTTCTATGGAAGCCTTAAGGAGACTTCAGTATGCTCTTGCTGTCCTTCAGCCCCTTCATGAAAACTTGGACTAATTTTCACTAAAAAAAAAAAAAAAATCTCTCCTAATTTTTAGAATAAGCTTTAACTTTTTAATTGAAAGCATTCTATCAGATACGCTAAAAACAATCTCTATAACAGGGCGTATGTTTTATTTCAATTATTTTATTTTTAGTGTATTTTAAAGTCAAGGACACTTTACATAAAAATATTTCCTGTATTTGCACAATACTTTTGATTGACTGGAGATACGTACTGGTGAGCACAAGACTTTAGCTTCATGGTGAAAATGAGGGGTGGTTTGGGGGGTCAGGAATGCTTTGAACCCACCCAACGCCAGCACGAAGAAGCAGCCACACTCAGAGACCCACCCATCAAGCCGCATTTATAAAAAATTTAATGTTCTGGTCTCCGCCCTGAACCCTAAATTTGCTTTTGTTTTTATTTCTAAACTGTCCAATGACAACTGTTTATTTCACAATCGACTACATGAAAGAGCCTTTTAATTTCTACACGGATGGCAACCTTTGCCTCGCCCCACGTCGTTCTTACCTGACGTTGGTCACACAGACGGTAAACTCCGAGCCGCTCCTCTCCAAGGTGCTGCTCTCCATGTAGGCGTATATGTCCCCGTGAGCGAAGGCCACCAGCCACCACATGATCGCGAAGAGCAGCCAGCTGCAGAGGAAGGACATGGTGAAGATAACCAGGGTGTGGCGCCACTTCAGGTCTACCAAGGTGGTGAAGATGTCCTGCAGGAAGCGACCCTGCTCGCGGATGTTCTTGTGCGCCAGGTTGCAGGCCCCGCTCTTGGCGATGAAGCGGGCTTTGGGGAGGCGGTCGCGGATGCGCGGCTTGCGCAGGTTCTCCGCGGCGATGCGCGCCAGCACATACTCCTCCGGGATGATGCTCTTCCTGGCCAACATCTTCCTGTCACCATAGCCAGGCTATGCACCTGCCCGAACCCGTGGCTCCTTTCCTCCACACTCGTCCTCCTAGACCAGAGAAACGCTTATTAAAAGCTGCCAACTTTCTTTCCTCGTCTCCGGTCCTTGTACAAAGGGATGCTGTTTTTACACACACGAAGTGGCAGGCAAAATTAAAGATGCGGTTTAATACAAACGAGAAACTAGCTTGTGTCTGAGGACTAGGATCCCAGAGAAAACTTTTGATCAGAACCAGAGGAATCCTTCCTTCCTTCCTTCCTTCCTTCCTTCCTTCCTTCCTTCCTTCCTTCCTTCTTTCCTTCCTTTCTTTTCTTATCTCCTGGAGCACTCTTGAGAATGGCCTCAGATATGCAAATCTTAGAGCATTTTCTGTAAATACAGGCTCGAAGAGAACTGTCGTGTGTGGATAAGGATAGCTCACGCTGTCGAGAAAGAAAATTGAAGCCAGCTGGCTTCTCCCTCTACTTGCTAAAGTATTCAGATAAAGTAGCAAGGTTAAAAGTGAAGAAGGAAGAATCCTTATTTTTAGTAGCAGAAGAAAAAAAAACTTGCTTCCTACTCATTAAGAAAATATTAACTGTAATTAACAAGGTACCAAATGACGCGCTTGCTTTCGAACTTGGATATGAATGACTTTAAATTTGAAGGATTTACGAGATGCGTTTTAAAAGGCAGCCCAGCTCCCCTCCCCTCCCTCTTCTCCCATCATACTACTATATACTGGAAAATAATTTGTAACATAGGGATCAGATGCGCTGCTGAGGGCTGCAATGGAATTCCAGGGCATGAGCCGGGGTTGGGTGCCTCTCTGCTGTTGGCCTTTGAAGTCACCAGCTAGGCTGAGGGCTGGCTTCCCGCTGTTCTCCCCGGGAGGAGCGAGGCAACTTACAGGCTCAGAGCAGCGCGCGCAGCAGCGGCTGGAGCTCCGCGCACCCCTGGGTGTAAGGCGGGCGGGTCCCTGGCTCTCGCATCCCCGGGAACAGGGGCTGCCACAGCCCGGAGGGCAGGTCCAGGGAATGCTGGTCCTCCAGAACTGAGTTAAGATTCTAGAAGGTGCGATCCACGCGAGGAGGAGGGCTGGAGGATGAAGGGTGGGTCGGGCTCTTCCCCTCCTGCTGCGGGGCCTCGGGAGGGCGGGGGAGGAGTTGGTGGGGAGAGATGCTGATGGCGATGTTCAGCTAGCTCCCCAACCGCGTAGCTGGGGCCAGACCTCCGAGGGAGCCCGGGAAGGTGGAGGCGGAGGCCGGTCCGGGGGAGGCAGGGAACGGGCCAGGGGGAGGGACCACCGGGGGAGGAGGCGCCCGCGAGCCAGCTCGGTTCCCAGTAGCTGCGACTCGGCTGCCAGCCTGACACACACGTCTTTAAAAGGCTCGCTGCTCAGAGAACTTTCTGAGTCCAAGTTCACTGACGCAGAGAGAGTTTAATTTATTATTTTTTTAAAAGTGTAACCCGGGGAGATCACTGGGTGACTTCAGCTGGGATAAAACCAGATGGGGAGAGTGTAGGTGTTCTGGGTAGGGTGGAGTGAGGCGGGGTGGAAAGGGGTGGGGTCCTTGTCCTGAGGGTGTTAATCTTTAGAATAGAGAGGGCCGGAGGGCTGAAATTCTTTCAAAGACGACTCCACCAGCTAAGACCAGTACTCAGGGACTTAAAGTAAGAAAAAGAAAAAAAAAAAAAAAAACGAAAGAAAAATAGAGGCTAACAGCAAAACCCCACCAACAGTCTCTTCCAATAAAGAGAGTTCACACAGACAGGACTACTGTCTAAAGCCCTGCACCACAGGGCCATCAGGGAGCAGCCAAAGCGCAGTTTCTGACTTGTGGCCGCCAGCATCTTCCTCAGGTCCAGATCCTCGGGAAGATAAGGCAGCGTTTGCGAACCAGCGAGATACGTCTTTCTATAGCGTTTGAGAAAGAGCCAGGAGGGACAAATGTACTTTCTCCCGCAGGTCAAGTCTCAGCTTTTGGCGCTTGTATAGTGGAAACTTTAATTCTTGGAAATTTTATGTGTTTTCCAAGACTCGGGGGTCGAGAGCATATGCAGTATAAACAACATGTTCATTGACAGGAAAGACCTAAAATTAGTCTTTAATGAAGGAAAATGATGACTGTTCGGCCCCTTCCTTTTTCCATTGTGGGTACATCTACTTTAACCCTTTGAGGGCTGGAGGGACTGTTCCTTCAGTTGCAATTCTTCCTGTTTCCTTGGCTCTGCGCAGTAATTCGCGATGTGACCTGACAGAAAGCATGTAGCCATCGTTTTTTGCAGTGAGTCTCCCCACTGGAATCCAGTTTGTGGTGCAGCTTGCAGTGCAGTTTCTTGTACATTAATTTAACACCAAACACACTCCCCCCCACCCCCCCCAGAAGACATGGTTTCATGTATTTTAAGCTGGTCTCACAAGCTGCTGTGTGGCCCATGATGATCTTGAACTTCTGATCCTTCTGCCTGTACCTTCCAAGTGCTGGGCTCACAGATGTGAACCGTCATGCCTGGTTTTTGTTTGGTTTTGTTTTTCAGAGCTTGTGCATGCTAGACAAGCACCCAACCAACTGAGCTACACCTCTACTCCTATCTCTTTGTGTGATTTTGCCGTTGTCCTTCAATACAGGATTTTGCTGTGTAACCCAGGCTAGCTTGTAGTTTACTGTTATAGCTCCAACAGGCCTCCAATTCAAGGCAATCTTCTTTCCCCAACCTCTTGAGTGCTAGGATTAAAGGACTGGTGAACTATTATGCCTGGTTGTTGGACATGTAATTTGTGTTTTCATAACTGGGGATATACAAATACATGCCACGGTTGCTGACCTTAGAGACACTGGTAGAAGAGTGGTGATGTCACTTAGATCTGACACAATCAAGGGTATGATTAAAATAGGAAAGGAGGGGCTGTAGAGATGGCTCAGGAGTTAAGTCCTCTGGATCCTCTTCCGGAGGACGTAGGTTCAGTTCCCAGCACCCACATGGCAGCACACAACCATTTGTCACTTCAGTTCCAAAGGACTCAACATCTGCAACATCCTACCTCTGCAGGCACCAGGTACAGACATACATGTAGGCAAAACACCTATACACAGAAAACAATTAATAAAACATTTTAAGCATTAAATAAAAAGAGACACAGAAAGTACCATAGGAATTCAGTGACACAGTGAAGGCTGGGATACCAGGGGAATGTTCCTGGATTGCTTGGTAGCCAATCTAGTAGGTGAAAAACTAGATCCGTCTGGAGCATATTGAAAAGCAGAAAGGCAGAGAAAATACAGTCCACAGACAAGCAGACAGCCATGAAATGTGGGCAAGAGCTTTGGCATAGCAGAAATTAATCTAAGCAGCATCCAGGAGGCACCCATAAGCCAGCAGGTAATAGGCTTAAATTCAGGGCTGTGTGGGCAGCCCAGCTTTCTTAACAACATATTTTCCCACATGGTATCCTCCAGATTCTTTGTAGGCATTATGAGCTACAATTTAGGAATAGAGCATGATGCCTGGGTTTCAATGTCAAGTTGACTGGATTTGGAATCACCTAGGAGACATACCCGCGGCTGTGTTTGTGAGCCTGTTCCCAGAAAGAATTAGCCAAGGAGGGAAGAGTCATCTGGAGCAGCTGGTGTTCTGAACCAAGCAAGAGAGAAGGGAGGAGAAGGCGAGCTGAGTGCCGGCACCGCCTACTGTGCTCCAGGTGCAGTGGGACCAGCGGCCTTGCACTCTCGCTGCCTGCCATGCCTTCCCCACCATCATGGGCTGGGCCTCCTAAACCGTGATCCCAGGCGAGCCCTTCCTTCCACATCCCAGCAACAAGAGGAACAAATACAGAGAGGTTCTTGACTTTCTTACTCTCTACAGGATTAAAGCTTGTCAGGTGCTTTCGGACAAGGGAGGGGAGACAAGCTGATGACCTGATGACCTGCTCAATTGTCTGTTGCTATGGTTACCAAATGAGGACTGGTGAGCCCTGGAAATGACTTCTGAGATGCAGGGTGTGGCTTTGTGTCTGGTGATTCTGACTTGACTTGACTTGTGAGTTTTCAACTCTTAGACTTCAATATTTGGAAAATCTCCCAAATGAGAATTGGAGCACTCATGTCAGCAGCAGGATGATGCTTGGTCTATTTTCTTGCTGCTTTATTTGTGTCCTCAGCTAATCCACTTGGGAACATATTGCTTTGGAATCAGCTTAATAAAACATTGCATAAACTAATAATCAAAACAGCATGTTATCAACTCACTTTCAGAGTGCTGTCATCAAGTGTGCATGACAGGATCTGTTTCAGGGACTTCAGAACATATTTCTTTTTGAGTTAGGTGTGTGTGTACACACACATATATAAGTATTTCTCTTCTTTTAGTTAGGTCATTTACCTTGTCAAAGAGATCCATCAGAATTGCAAATTCAAAGAATTTATCTCCAGGCTTGTACACTCAACTCAGGTATACCAACTCAAGAGGTAGTCTGAGTCAGAAAACCATGATTGAGGAGGTGGATTTAATGACAATCAATACCTTTTATTTTGCGTCTAGATAAAGCAAACTCTCTCTGTTCTCAGAGGCAAGCAAGGAAACTTTCATCTGTCAAGAAGAAAAGAAATAAAGCTTATGAACAATAAGCCAGGGTCCATCAGTACATAGTGGCCTTGCAAGTAAGAAGACCAAAATCAATCCCCAGAACTCAAGTAAAACAACAACAACAACAAAAAAAACCTGGGTGTGGTGGCACATTGATAACTACAGTGATGGAGAGGTAGAGGCTGGGAGAAGCCAGCTACCCTTCTCTACCCTAACCTGAGAGCTTCAGGCCAGTGAGTGAGCGATTCAGCATCCTGGGGGATGAGCACCCAAGGACTCCTGTGAAGGCTTCATGCAGGAACTCGCTTGCCATGCTTAAAGACTCCAACTATGGCAGTGTAGTTAATAGAGCAGGAGAAGGGAAGGCAGAAGCAGGACTCAGCATTGGGCCGTTCTCCCTTCACTTACCTAGTAAATACAGGCTGAGTGTCTGCCCGGGGCTAGGCTGTGACAACCAGTGACAAAATGGGAGGCAGGTTATTTCCTCACGTTGCGCGTAAGTTTAGAGCATAGTAAAATGTCCCGCCTAAGCTGGCAGGGGTGGCAAGTGGAGAGCTGGGTCAAGCTCACACTCTGTTCTCATGTCCAGCGCTTTTCCCAATGAGCAGTCTTTCTGAGGGATGCTTTTCAAGCCATGGTCCAGCTACAGGAAAAGTGCCTTGGTGATGTGGTTTTATACCCTTCTGAGGTTTTGTTGGGCAATGATAAAACAAGAATTAAAATTTTTGGTCACAAATTAAAATGTCCCTAATGAGAAGGTATAAACTCTTCCAATAAGATGGAACAAAACACGTTATCTCGGATATGCGAGAAGCCTCAGACTTATGAGGAGGGGCTGTGGTTCGGATACAGTCTGAATGTGTCCTGAAAGAGTTCCTGGGCCAAAACCCAGTCTCGTGTGACAGTGTGAGAGATAGTGAAGCACTGTGTGTGTGTGTGTGTGTTTTACATGTGTGCGCACACACACGTGGACAGATGCACATGTACATGTCTATGCACGTATGTGGGCCTCAGAAGTTAATTCAGGTGTTGTTCCTCGGATTCAGCTCACCTTCTCACTTTGAGAATCATCTCTCATTGGCTGGAGCACACCAACCAGGAGAGACCTGACTAATGAAGGTCAAGGGTCCTCCAGCCTCTGCTTCCTCAGAACTGGATCACAACTGGTGCCATCAGCCTGGCTTTTTACCTAGGCACTGGGGCTCCAAACACAAGGCCTCAAATCTGCAGTGCAGCTTCAAGGGCTGAGTCACCTCCCTTGCCGCTGGGATGATGGAAGTTTTAAGAGGTGAATAAATCATGAAGGCATGGTCCTCAGAAGACATTAATGCTGGTCATTTTTCTTAAACCTTTTATGAGTATGTATTCATTGTTCGGAGAGATGTGTTTCACAATGGCATTTTCTCTCAAGTCTATCATGAACTTTGACCACAATGCCCACTCCCTACACCCCTATCCTCTGGGAGAGAGAAAAAGCAATATTTATTTCTCTGGATCTGTTTTGTTTCACACAGTATGATGACCTCCAGTTCCATCCACTTTTTACACATGAAACAAGGCCATTCTTTTACTATTTTGCGTGTGTGTGTGTGTG